TCACAGTCATAATTCTCTTACTGGGGTAACTTAATGTGTTTTTAGTTAATAAAATCAAACTGGTTCTAGTTTTGAGGGTAAAAGCCACACTGGAGTCTGACCTTCGCTGGTTGACAGCATAGGATATAAATCTTGTGAATCAGCAAACAAATCCTGTGAAGAAAATTTATTGACATCAAACTCTGTATTTTTAATCTCAGCTTTGACCCTTCTGCTGTAGAGATAAATGTAGATATATTATAAGTTATAGCATTGACAGATTCTAATATTTTTAACAGACATGAGATAGTTAAAGTACCTGGAAATGGTAGACAGTAACAAGGAACAAATGCGAACAACAAATATTTGTTTCCCTCTGACCTGGTAGTCTTTACATGACTCTGTCTATGCTACCATAAGAGGCAGCTTTTAAAGACAATTAGGACAAACCCACCCTATTCTGTTTAAAGTAAATTAAGTCGTTTATTCCAATCAAGTCTAGGAGGGGCTCTGACTACAATATACCCACAATAGTGATAGAGTGACTTTTATGTGGCAGTTGTTGGATGCCATGGAACTGATTCGGATGCATAGTGATCCCATGTGGTGGAGCAGAGCTGCCCCACAGGTCTTCCTGGGCAGTACACGTACAGGTCACCACCCTGTAAGCAAGGCCTTAGGGAATGCTCGTCAGGTGACCCTGGGAACAACGGTCTGGGATGGCCTGTCCCTGCTTCAGTCATAGGCAGAGACCAGGTTGATTCAGGAAACTGGACATGTGTTCTGAAGCAGAGAAACCATGGGGTTTGCCACCTCCGAAAATCCAGCAAATGGTCTATCCTTAATTGTGTGACATAAAAGCAGGTTTTACAATGATTGCTGGAAGCAATTAGTAGGTTTTGCAATGATCAGAGGGTGCAGTCGATACTCCAAATAGTGAGACCCAAAGGCTCGTTTTCACTGATCACGGGAAATGATCGATACCTACAGTTCTCCAGGGGTCATCTGATCATCATCCCCGGAGGTCTTCCTCACCCTCCTGAACTTTCATTTTGGATTGCTAGCAAACTAAAATTTTCAATTATGTTTGTCTCTAGTTTTTGTTTTGTTTTTTAATTAACAGCAGGCTCTCCCCACCCACCTACCCACCCCCCACTCTGTCAAGTGGGCAGGCAGGCAGCCAGCCAGGGTCGCTATGAGTCGGCATCGACTCTGACAGTGAGTTTAGTTTTGGAGAGTTTGATCAATGGGGTTACTTAGAGATGAAGGAAGAGAAAGGAAACCATCACAACCTCATTATTGGTGGATCCATCAACAGGTGAGTCCTCAGAGCTGAAGGTGGGAAGGACCATGATTGGGAAACGTATACAATTGCAGATTTTAAAAATGTACAGGGTTGGTCTATCCTGTAGAGCCTCTAGTGAGTTCAAATATGAATCTTTGGTTAGCAGTCACAGTGCAAAGGCCACACAGAACTGACCAAACATTAGTCATGATGGAAGAGGTATATTGGGGGTAGTTAGCAAGCTACCGGAAGTCAGATCACCAGGCAGGAAGGACACCATCACAGGTCCACAACCACACCTCTGTTCAGTCAGAAGCCAAATTTCTCTCTGGTCCTCAGCCTTTCCTTTGACCTCTACCTTAGCCTCCCCCTTGGCCTCTGGCTCTATGGACCAGGCAGCCCACCTGTCTCTCTGTCTCACAATCCCATGTCTTGACAGTGCCCCTCTGGTCTGTCTCCTGGTTTACTTACTTGCCTTGTCCTCTGATAATGGCATGACTCCCTTGCTCTGGCTCATCATCTCCTGCCACAGTAGTGGGTGCTTCTGTTATCGGCTTCTGCCAAGTCACCCAGAGATCCCAAATGTGATCTTCAGCCGATAGGCTTGCATTTCCCTCTCTCATTCCTGACAAGACAGCCCATCCTCATAGCCACAGTGGGTGGTCACTGAAACAGACCAGGTCCTCCTGATAGTGTTACACATGCCCTGGTTGCAAATCCCACCCAAGCCTTTGTTGGGATCGCAGAAGAGTCATTTTAAGAAATTTCACTCTGCCACACTCTTGTGCCACAAGCAAGTATAACATTGTACCGTGAAGACATGATCTGAATAACCCAGGCTTCACTCAGTACAAAGTACAGACCCCGTTGCTTTGCCCCGTTCTCCTTGCGATTCTCCAGTTGTTGATTATGATCGTTCCTCTTGGCAGCTGATCACGGACTAAAGGCCTTACCTGAAGTGTTTCTGTTCTAATAGCAATTATGAAACGATTACTTCTGAGAACATTGAGATAGGAACATTATATTCCCTGAAAGTCATTTTTGCTTCTTTTTGCTTCTCTATTTTGTTTTCCTTTCAGCTTTCTTGTTTTCTTTGTTTGGGGAAGAAAAGAGTTATTTTTTTCATGTCTCTATATGCACACACATAAAGCAATAGGAAAATAATTCATATTTCTAAATATGCCTGTTTCTGATCTCTTATAGGTGGAGAAAGTACATGTTGTATTTCCAGCCTGAAAGATGATCTATAAATCAATTGGTCTAATACATCTATGTGTGATACTGACATATTTTTAAGAAAATATGAAGTAGCGAAAGGTCGCACCTAACTTTTACGAGCCAGATACAGGCATACATTTTAAATGAGACTCACATTAGCCTTACCTCTGACAGTAACAGTAGATTAATGAGATATAAAATAAAAATACTTGGCCTGTCAGCCCAGCTGCTGAGCAAAACAAGGCAGGGTGAGCCCAAATCAAGCAAAGGCAGAGTGGAATCTTTAACATGTAAAAGCTCTATTCTGTCTCTTGTCTTTTAGCTTTGATGACTCTCAGGATTGCTTATCTATAAGACCATCTCTAATTTGGGACCACAGAAGAATCAGTGCTCTGGGAGGGCGTCTTTAAAATGCAAATTATAGAGGTGAAGCTACATTAAATCAGAGCAAGGCCCCAGAGTGCACACGTGTAATAAGCTCTGAGGGAGGTGTGAAGGGCCTGCGTGGTGACAGGGTCTGTGATCTGTTGCTACCCAAAGGCTGGTGGCTTGAATCTAGTTGGTGGCTCTGTAAAAGAAAAGCTTCCATAAAAGGTTAAAGGAAGGGAAATGGAAAACCTATAGATTTCTACTACAGGGTAGTTCTACTCTGTAACACACGAATTGACACGAGTTAGAATCCACTCAATGGTAAAAAACAATGCAAGACACACCAGACCTGTTCAGCCAACCAGTTGCCATCAAATAGGAATGATGGCAATCCGTGGTTATGAGAGTAGAACTGCTTCCATAGGTTTTTTAATGGGTGGTGTTTGGAAAGCGATCACCTGGCCTTTCCAGGTAACTCTGGGTGGGCCCAAACAGCCAACCTTTCATTGTCAGCTAAGCTCATTAACCATTTGCACCACCCAGAGATCCCCATCCCTGTATCATGAGAACCACTGGTCTAAATTATTGACAATTTTAGTCCAATCTCTTATCTTCTCATTTTGCCCCTCTATTTCCCTGAAAACATTTGCTCTGGCTCTGATTTTAATGGTGCTGTTCACCAAGCTCATGTTCCTAGAAGGAAAGATTGAGGAACAGGCCAGGAGTTGAGATCATAGGGCTGCAGGAGGATGTGATGAATTTTTCAGAGTTACAGTCAAGGGCAAAGCTAAGATCCCACAGTGAATGTAGTCCCAGCAATGGAGATAAAGTGATATTCTGAAGGCAACATAAATGAAAAACTAAAGATATTCACCGGTCAGCACAAGACCTCACACAGGCTGCACATACTAGCTGAGATATTCAAGGTGATGCTTTCAGTTCCATTTGAGGACTACACTGTCCTACAGGCAGATAATGAGGAAATGTGGGGAAGGGTTCAGCTCTTTTGATTGACTAGACATGGAAAAGACGTTGTTTTATCTTTTTCAAGAAAAGATGTACAACCTGAGAAATCGCCTCAAAGTTATGCTCAATGATGCTTCTTTTTATAATCTGGATAACTGATATTCTGCTGGGACTCTGCTAACATTTAGTTGAAGTTGACATTATTGATGTCATTTAGTATTGTCCGACTAACATTAAAACCGTTGCCCTCTAGCCAGTTCTGATGCATAGTTCTGCTCTCTGCTCTGTATCGGTTATCAGTGGCCACATTTTCTGATACAGATCACCAGACCTTTCTTCTGAGGTCCCTGTGATTTTACCAGGAAAGTATCTTAACAATGTGGACCAGGTAGCCAGGCACTGCAGTCTGACAACATACCTAAAATCTGCTGCCGTCATGCTGATTCTGACCCCCAGTGACCCTATAAAGGGTTTCTGAAGCTGTAAATCTTTCTGGGAAACTTTGTCGCTCAGCATGGCTGGTGGGTTTGAACTACTGATCTTCATAGTAGCAGTCCAACACCTAACCTGACAGGAGAAAACTAAAACGTAAAATCAACTTAGTAAAATATGAGGCTCTGCCCCCAAATGAAGCAAAAAATGATATAATTCACTCCACTGAGTAAAAGAAGAGTGTTTCCAGAAAACACGGGCAAGTTCTTCTTGGAGAGATATACTATAAAATGTGAACAAACTTTTCTTCAATGTCATCCTTGAGATGCTGGCCTGTGTTTCTATTAATAATATGTAAATGTTATGGAAATAGAACATGCTGGGTGCCTCATCTGTCTCAGAGAGCCGTTGCGATATGACACAGGTAAAGAGAAGCCCTGCTTTAGTCAAGAAGGTCTTTAGAAAGGATGAAATCTCACTCAGCGGCAGCCTGTGGATAATGAACTTGGGCATCTCTGTCATCGAAAGGGAGACATTGTATGAATGTGAAGGATCGACAGGCTGAGAGGAGAACAGAAAAATTGAGCCTCACTTTCAAAACCAAGTCTTAAGAGAATTGTGAATGTGAAGTAGACAGACAGGCTGATGAATAGAGTTGTCAAGGAGAATGCAAAGCGAGGTATGAACTTTGGTGGTGTCAGATAGCAACCCTTTACATTTCCCCCAGGGATGTGGTGCTTTGTGCTGAAGAGGTAAGAAGTGCTGGTGGATGAAAGGGAGAACAGAAGACAGGTGGAGCAAATCATAGAGCAAATCACAGCTGGGGAACATTGACTCGCCATTTTCCATATCCTCAGAAATTGCCATCTTACTTTCCATTAGAAGGCTGTGCCTATATGCTCCCATCCAGAAATAGCCTAGCATAATAAGGACTGTGGGTGCTGGAGTTAAGATTCCTGGGTTCAATCCCTGGTTCTATGAATTTTAATACTCTCCTCAATTGTTTTAAACTTACACATGTTAAATTCTGTATTTTAACTTCTCATATGTGAAACGGGGGTGATTTTTTTAACCCAAATTACAATTGAGATAAACCATGGAAGATGGGTATCATACAGTGGAGCCCAATGGACTCTCTAACATCAGGCTGATATGTGTAATTATTTTCTGGCTGGTACGTGTAATTATTTTCTGAACCATGATTTCAATTGCAGAAGTATCCCATTTCTCAGATAATTTATAGTCAAAGGAGAGAGATCATACTAATAAAGATATTATCAAGAGCATCTAATCTAAATAAACAACTTGAGGGAATATGAGTTAGATATTACAGAAGATGTGCTCGGCAAATTGTTATCAAACATGTACTCAAACCTTTTTGGTCCAACTGCTGAAGATTGCAGTAAATGTGCTAGTTCTATAAACTTGAGGTTCATTTTCAAAAGCATGCAAGCCCTCATTTTAATGAAATTCCAATCCTTCAGTTGATCAGTGGATACTGCATTACTGAAGCCAGAGGTGGACAAGAGGACCAGGGTTGCCCTCCAGAGCGATGTTGCAAGTGCCCAAGTGATGGCTTACTTTAGAGATGCTATATTTAGGAAGTTCCTGCCTTACTCTTTTAGAGACTAGGTGACAACTGATGTTTCCAAGACTGACATATCCATGCAGGGTATTCAGTGATAAGAAAAGATATTCAAACAAAAAGGCATTGGTATATGTGATAGTTAGGTTTTGTGTCAATGTAACTGGGCCAAGGATTCTCAATGGTTTGGCAGTGAAGGCTGTTAAGCACAAGGTCTGACATTCAAACCCACCAACTGCTCAAAGGAAGTAAGACCACGCTTCCTGCTCCTGTAAAGATTTACAGCCTCAGAAACCCGCAGGGGCAGGTCTACTCAGTAATTTAAAGACATTATGACTTAGAATCATCTGGAAGACAGTGAGATTGTTGTTGTTGTTGTTGTTGTTGTTTCTGGCCCTTTCTAGACATGCTACAATTTCATTTTGAATTGGGCAAATGATGTTCGTAACTGTCATATGAACATATTAGTCAATTAAGATTCAGGCATGTGGTTTATTTTTAAGTACAAGATTAAGGCAGTTTATTTAGAATCGACGCAATTTGTACTAGAGTATTTGTTTTAAGTAATTATTTGAAATGGTTCCATTGGAGTCTTGTTGAACTCATGAGTCGATGTGAATATTTATTATGAGCACAAAGAAGTAACATGATGCCAGGCACAATTCTAGGCAATTTGTATCATACCTAATGTGTCTGCCCTTTCTAGTATAGTGTTTGGAAAATTATTTTGACTTTATGTGACTCAGGTGTATCAACTATAAAATGGGGATAATAACATAAAAAACAAATCAATTGTCATCAAATCAATTCTGACACACAGTGACATATTAAACCAAAACTTCCTGCCATCAAGTTGAATCCAACTCATTGAACCCTGGGGCATAGTGGGCTGTCTGTTGGGCTGCTAACCACAAGGTCAGCAGTTT